ATGACCTATTTGAGTCTGAAATTAACTGTCCTGAGAAAAAAAGAGGGTCTTTGGTATGTTACATATTCAGCTTCATAATGAAAAAGCAGCAAATAGGGGCCTGGTTGAAATCGTATAAACTGGTGTTTCATCACAGGAAAGCATTACTGACAACATGCAGATGCTACTTCTAGACGAGGTGAATTGTGTAGTGGGTATATTATTCAAATGCAGCCATTTGTATACAAAAATTGGAGTCATCTGAAGAAGAGAGGGCATGCATGAGAAAGCAAGACGCAGGAATTAGCGAGAAAAAGAATATGGTCATGTGTGTAACAGGCTCATCCCTCAGCAGGGGCTCTCAGGGACCTATTTGTCCCAGCAGAGAGCGGCGGGTGAGAGATGAGGTCTAGAGCCCCTTGGCTTGTCTGGAGCTCTATGCAAGGCAGGAACACCCAAGATGGATGAGAGGGGGCTAAACGAGAAAAGGTGGATCAAAGAGCGGTAGGAAGGGAGAAGAGGAGGGCCGGGAGGACAGAGGGAGGGGAGAGAGGGGAGAAGATGAGCGATGGACGGATGGTCCTTCTTTTGATCCATCATTGAGTGATGCTCCATTCAATGTGTTGACTGAGACCACCTGGGGGACACCGGGGGAGGCTGTGTGTTTGTTTATTAGCGCTCTGGGGGAGGGGTATCGCTCGTGTATGGATGACTGTCAGCCTCCCAGCCCTCCACATTAGGGTGATTGAAGGAAACTGATGGCCCACTTCCAGACAGTGTCAATGTCTCTGGAGTGCACAGTGAACCTGCTGCGTGATCTCCATGATGGTAAACAGCTTTCATTATGCTGACACAGGAGGAGCCAAACAACAAGATCTTTTTTTATCTCAAATCTCATTTTGTTTTTGTTATTCCTGGAATGAGGAGAAATCACCCCAAGCCTCTGTTTTTCTGACTTTTCCTTGAATAGAGAAACGTTGTGGTTCCCTAATTACTTATTTATCTTCACCACTACATCCGTCATTCATATAATAATGTGGTAATTCCCAAATGAGACCCCCTCCCCCCTTCACTGCTCCACCCTCTCCTCACAAACTCAGCTTTTTGTGTCCCTCCATCTACCCTGTTTATCACTCGTGTGTGTATTTTCGTATGTGACTCTCCCTCTCACACACATATGACCTCATGTGAGGGTCAATGCACACGCTGAATACGTCTTTTGTGAGCGGAGGTGTTATAACTCCAAATGTAAATGTAAACACTGGTGGCTTTGTCCTTCACCTCTCGTTCATCACTCTTCCTATCAGCCAATCTCTCTCAAATGTAGAAACAGTCTGAAAGAGTGAGGAGTCAATCTGAGATTGCCAATAGGAGGACATTGTCTCCGTGTAGCATAGAAACAGCATGTCCTTGCCGGGTAACGTGCGTCATATGGAGAGCAGCCGAGATAAGACATGAGTTCTGAGAATTCAGAGCTTTATCAGAGATAAAAAAAAATGACGACAGAGATTGGAGGAAGTGAAACATTTCTGATCATCAGTTAGGGTGACAAATTCATTTCCAGAACAGGTTCAGGTGAAGAAAGTGGCAAACAGAGTGAAGAGTGGTCAAGATTACACAGATGAATACCAGGAAATAGTCTGCACATTTAAAGATTCATTTATCTATTTGTTAAATATAGATTTTAAAAAAGCTTATCTGGAAAACAGTGAATAGAAATGTGCCTGTAGGTCTTTGTTGCCTCCTCGACTATTCCCCCACTCTCTCAACACATCCTTAAAGAAATCACTGTTCTTTACAATATTTGCTACAGTTCTTCAAGGTTAAACCCATAAATATCTTTTTTTTAACTCTCTATTATCCCGTATACACAGACCATATAAAAGAAGAAATGTTATGTAGTCTTTTTGTTTCCCTGCTCTGAATAAAAGGAACAAACACAGAATTGAGGGATGATGTTATTCTTGCTATTGTTTAGAAAGCAATCTGGCTTTCACTAACACTAACCATTAAACTGAGAAGTGTTACAGCTTCCACCTCAGAAGTGAAAAGTCAAATACAAAAAGGAAAAAAAAAAAACAATTGTGAATTTTAGACACTTAGGAATTTGCTGCTTAAGCCTCAGTGAGCAGCTTATGGAACAACAAGCTGCTGGAATGAACTATTGCATATAGTGGCTTATGTTAGCTTACCTCTAACAAAGTGTCTGCTATAAAGTTTAGCTCCAAAAACCAATCGGTCACATGGATCTTATAGAAATGTTTTATATTGTGAAATTTCACTGCATGGTTCCATGATGGATGTCTAGCCCTCATCACATCCTGGGTCCATCATTCACCACCACCAATGTTGAGGCCTTAGTGTTGTGTGGGGGGTTCCTGTCTTGCTCTTGGCCTTCTGTGGTCCATTCACTAAAGACATTTCTCATTCTCATGAAGTTAATGACTGTTCGCTTAGATTGAAGTCCCCCCCCCAGACTGAATTGGTTGTATTGTTTTGCATTGGTTTGGCAAATACTTGTCCCCACATTGTTGTCCTAAATGACCCAGACTTCACTGAGATTGCAGTCTTGAGTAAGGCCCAGAGCTGTTGTGTACACACTGGTTTGACCTTTTGTCCTCTGCTTTGTAGAGGACTAAAAATACCATCCGACAAAGACATTTTCAGACTAACAGCTATTCAGAAGGCTTGTAAAAGCTGGAATTACCACAATGTCTGTCAACTGAAATTTCAGGAGGGTTTACCTTGTGCTGAGAGTGTGGACAGGCTCTCCATGACAAGTTGAATTGCCTGTTTTAACACAGTTCTGCTTTTGTGTCCAGAGTTTTATTAACTGTGAGCTCTCTGGGCGGACAGCTCACTTTCTAATGAGTCAAAATATCTTTGTTTATGTATCCTGAGCATTATCACTCTTTCACGATCCTTAACACACACTCAGACAATCGCAAAATAAAACACGAACACATGCAGCTCATTGACACAGAGCAGCCAGAGAAGCAGATGGTGTTTCCATCTAAGGAGTTTGTGGCTGTCTGCAGGTCATGTGCCGTCTCCATCAACCACATCCATCACTTTGAGGCGAAGACAGAGGATGAAGGACTCGAAGCAGTTAGGATGTGGTTACTTTCAAGGACTGCGTGCACTCCAGTTTCCAAATTTGCCATCCTTACATCATGCACTCAGCGGGGCTACTGTTAACCAAACTGACACTCCAGAAAATGTGTTTTCTAAAGCTTGGCTTGTGCTGGCAGAGCTGTGTGGTAATAGAGAAGCAGTGCTGTTGTAACACCGTTGTGATGAATAGCTGTACCTGTGCTTGAGGAAACATGTTCCCCAGCAGTGTAATGGGGCCACACCCTGAGCTAACCTGCAGCTGTAAACACACATGCAGACGCACCTGCCGAGTGTGAGTCACGCAAAGTGGGCGGGTCTTAGAGGAGAGCATGAGCTCATCTTTTGGTTCCCGCACATTCCCACAACTCACCCCTTTCCTGCCCCATTCTTTCTTTTCATCTCTTTTACCTGCACCCCACCACCACCACCGCCACTTTTCCAATTCCCTCTGTGCTTGTGTGTGTTTGTGCATGTCTCTGTGTGTGTTGTTGTTGTGGCTGCATCTCTGTCATCAGAAACAGGAAGGGGTGTGCACTTGTTTGTGTGTGTTATAGGTGGGTTTTTGTTCACCTGGTGGCCAGTTAAGAGGGCGGAGCAGTGGGTCTGTGTTAATAGTGTGTGTTTGTGCGTGTGTGCGTACGTGTGTGTGTGTAAGGATTACAGTCAAGCAGCCAGCGTGAGAAACAGGAGTTGAACAAGAAGCGTGAGAACTCTACCTGGAAAACAGCTGGGAATGTGTGCTGCACAGGCTTACCAAACACACATGCATAAACTATGAAACACACAGCAATACATGCACAGGCACTCCTACGCACATTCCTGTAAAATACATGCTGGGTCAGACCCAACTGGGACTGCAAACATGACTCATTTTTTCTCATAGTTTTAGGGTCTTGGAGACAACAACAGCCTGTAAGACTTTACTCACTGCTTTTAAACTCAAAAACAAACACTGAACGCTAATCGAACACACGTCACAGACCATCATCACCTCTGTAGCTGTGTGCGCCTGAGAAGAGGAAGTGAACCTGTTTATTGCACTTTTGTAGGCCGATTATGCAACACTGGAAAATGACACAAGCGTGTTCAAGTACAAGTAGTGCGTGTGTGTTTGAGGTGCAAAAAAGACATGAGAGATAAGCTGTTGATAGTCAATGATCACGCTTAGAGTATTTGAATATTTGCCTACAGTTAAAGAAGGATCTGTTGCACACACTAACACAAGAGTAAAGTGGGTTTGCCCCAGGCTCTGCTCTCTCTTTCTCTTTCTTCCTCTCACCCTAACCCTCCCTCTCATCCATTCTTCTCATCCGGCATATATACAAATATGGTGAAAACATTCTTGCGTGCACAAGTGTTTGCATTCCTGCTTGTTGGATCGTGGGAAACATCTGGGAACCTGAATATAGATGGTCGTATCTGCAGGCAGAATGTACAAATTATATAAATACTGAGAATTTTAAAAAATCTAAACGTCCCGCTTGATTCAGCACAGGTGTACAAATTATATCTTCTTTGCCATCAAATATGACTTAAAAAGGCAAGGTAATTAAAAAATGCTGTCTGAATGTTACTGAGAAATAAAAACACCACGAGTCATACCATCCGGAGCAGCGTCCTACAAGAAAGAGCCAAAATAAAATCTGAGCTCAAGTCACAAACTGGGTTAAACAAGTTTCAATCGGGAGCTTAAACCTGCTATACTTGTGATTACCAACAGGGGGAAACTCCACTGGATCAAAAAAAAAAAAAAAAGAAAGAAAGAAAAACACAATTTTGTGACGATGATATAGCTTCTGAGAGCAGTAGCCAACTTTTCAAGGAGAGGTGATGCTTAAGAGCAGAACTGCAGCTGCACTTTCATGCAGATCTGGTTTAAAAACACATCAGTTAAGGCTAAACTGTCACGGGTTGACTGCAGCTGGACTTCTGGATTGAGTTGTAATGGATTATATCACACCTTCTATGCTCTCCATAGACTGTCTTGCAGCTGTAACCAAGGAAAGTCAGAGTACTAGTGGGTGACTTTACCTGAACTGTGAACAAAAACCATGACAAGTCCAAGTTAATCAGTTTAAAGTCTCGAGAAATTTACACCACACTGATTTGCAGGAGTATTAAGAGGGGCTCTGTTGACTGTTCAGGCCTTATAGATGAATACATGTCAAAACGAGCGTCTTCCCCCTCACACTTGAAAGATATTTCATAGTGTGTTATGTTAACGAATATAAAATACAGTAAAACGATAACACGGCTCCATAACCCTAAACATTAGCAAGTAATTATGGATATATCTCTTCTACTTGTCCTTCCCAGCATGATCTGTGAATTAATGTATTAACATCAATCAACTAAATAACTACCATATACAGTAATTTAAATGTAATTTGTTTTCTGTTTGAGTTTTCTTTGTGTTTTTCTTGCTGGTAAATGTAGGTTTTTAGGCAAATGTTGGTATTCAGAAGTTAGGTTTGGCAGTTTTTCCTCTATGAGCAGATTTCTGGGATGTTGACCATTAACTCTGCCACAGAATCAGTAAAGTTGCAGTCATGCTTTTTGCTGTGCTGACTTTAATTCTGTGTTTTTTGTAAATTACTAACAAAACATAAGCAGTAAGCAGTGCCAGTGTCTTTTTATGACGTCTGTAATCATGCCCATTCGAGCCTGGAGCAATGGGAGCCCAGGAAAGAGGGGTAATGGAGAGGGGGACAGTCATGCTTTGGTAAAAGATTAAAGATTAAAAGATTGTACTGTAACAGACAAGTTTCTATGACCGCTACTATCCTTTTTTTTATAAATATGGACCATGTGTCTATCCCTTTAATGCCTTTTGTATCATATTTGATACATACTTTGATCAATCCATATGATCAACAAATTACTAAAAAAAATACCTGAATACAGTCCGATAAAGGATAAAAATGTTCTCTGGTGGTTTATCAGTTTCCAAAAACATCTAATGTATCAAATGAGATAAATAAATATATTTGTTAAATTTTAAGGACATTTTGATTTTTTGGGTTTTCAGTAGTAAGTGAAATAAACATTTCAGCTCCAAAAAATTTGAATTTTCTGGCCATAATTTGTGGTTTTAGGCATTATAGGGCTAATATTGTGAGACGTGGTGCCAAAATACTGCCATCAGAGCTGAATTATTGAGCTGGTGGAGGAAGGGCATGTGTATAAGTCCACACTGACTGCAACCCTTCAACCCAAATACAAATACAAATGCAGTATGCAGGCACATTCCTTTTACCAAATATTATTTAGTTTAAAAAAACTGTAATGCAGACCCACTAAAATGCTCACTGTTTTATACTATCTGTGCAACACGTATCACCTTAAGGATATTCCCGAACCATCACCGGGACAGGACCCCAAAATAAAGTGCTTCCAGTGATCATGATATTATACTGGTCTCTTGATGTAAGAGTAACAACGTGAAATCTGTTCCTCTGAATCCAACGCAGTAGCTCACTCTTACGAAAGCTGATTCAGAGCTTTGGCAACCAAGAAAAGGTTCAAACTTCAGGTACTGTTGAAAAATACATGAATACATATCTATTAAAACAGGTTACCTTTTTCAATTGACCTTATAATGCCAAGCATTCATCATGAAATCTGCCACACCTCACAACTGATATTGCATTCCCTTGTAGATTGCTACCAAGACCTTGTAAAAGCCAATCTTCACAGTGTGACATACACTGAACCTGTGAGATTGCGGTTATCACGCAGCATGTAGGACTGTAACGCCCCCCTTTGTGGAGATTACAATCATAATGTAATTTTTCATTTCCAGTTGTCTGAGAGAGAAAACACAAAGGCTTGTGTATGTTTGCTGTATGTTTTGTGTTTGTGTTTCAAGGTAACCCCTCTCTCTCTCTCTCTCTCTAAAGCACCCGGCTCACCACGTGGACATTTTAATGCAGAAAATATGTAGCACGCTGAGAGAGGCTGGTCCTGGAAAACCAACTGAAGGGCGATTGATGTGAAGGGGACATCCACAAATGGCCAGAGTGTACTAGATTTTAAAAGCACACACACACGCACACACACAAACACAGACACTAATGTAGTGGCGGTGTCCCAGACAGCTTTCCGGAAGCTTGCCATTTCCTGTGAAGCTGCTGCAGGTCTCTGTCCATACGGCTGATGACTCCCTGGGGCCACCGGCTACTTTATGCTGCTCGTATGGACCCATCTACTGTTACCAAACCAACCCCCCTTAAAACACATGCACACACTCCATCATGTGCACACACCCACCAGCTGACATGAAGACAACACACACACACACAGGCAGGCTAGTTTATTGACTTTGCATTATCTCACTGTTATAGGGATTTGCATGATTTCATCATGAACGCATGAGTACTTCCAGCATGTCGACTGTAGGTCATTATATTCAATATCATTGTACTACGTCCTCTCTTTTCATTCAGTCTTTTGACGGCGTGTACAAGAGAAACCAGGAGCGAGACAGACGCAACATGGCCCGCAGCTTACTCTCTATCCCTTACGATTTAATGAGATGAATTAGTCTTTAATTAAACTTCAGAGGCAAGTCGGGCAAGAGGGAGTACGGGGACAATGAAGAGAACAGTAATAGATGAGATTTGCTTTTCAGAGAATATATCACACTCTGCTCTTTAAAATCCTGCTCTCTCATTAGTCTTCTCTTTTCTTGGGACGAATCAGCCTAATGGAGGAGATCTACCTCCAGGCTATCATTCCGTCTGTCGGTCAAACCTGCATATTTCCCCTAGACCCGCCCCCTTCTTTTCCAGCTGTTCTCCTCCACCCCTTTACAGCTCACATACTTAAGATTGAAGTACAAACATGTTCTTACCCTGCATGTGCACACAAACCCCCTCCTCCCATCCAAACAAAAAGCATGAGCAATAAAAGACAATTAAACCTATTTCTCAGCATTAATTAGCATTTTAATTAGCAAGGCTGTAAGAATGAATAATCTGCCGACATATGGTTAAGGGTGCAAAATCATAATCCCTATAACAGTGTTATTTATTCCCTCCCAGTAGCAGAGGCTGTTTCAACACGCTGGTCTAATTACTATTGCTGGGGGTGGGGACCAGAAGCCAAGCGCAGTCAAACAATAACAATGCTAATGCTGGAGGCTACGCTAGGTTAGGCCTACACCCAATTCCTGATGCACTCTTCCTCAATGCAGAACAAACACTCCGGGAAAACAAGAGGGGACATGGGAAATGAAAGAGAATCAAGATATGTCCCCTTTTTTTCCCACTCACTTTTTAATGAGTGTTTTTCTAATGAAAGGAGCAGGAGGTTGAATTGAAACATCTGCTCTGGCGAGCGTCCAATCAAATGAAAGCTGAAAAGCTCATGCTTGTGTGTGATGGAGAAAAAGAGAAGAATGGACACAAAGGCGAGTGGCTTTCTTAAATAACATCATTATTTATTGCATGTGTCTATAAAGAATCAATACAATCTAAAGCAATGAACTAAGTTTAAATTATCATCTCTTAGTAGCATCACAATATGCAAGATATGAAATATTTACAATGAAAAGACACAGCAAGAGAAGCCAGGGCCCATATCCTAACCTTTAGATGCTGAATAAAAACTTGAAACATTATCCAAATGCAAAAAACACTGCTCAAAACATCAAGAGGCTCGATTAGCAAAAAACACACAGAAAAAAGTTTTCATTTCAAATTTGGAGGAAAAAAAAACGTACAAACAGCAAAAATCTGATTCATAAGGTTAACAAAGATTATTAACAGTATTTATACATTTGGTACGTCTTTGTAAACTAATTTTCAAAAGTGTAAATATTGCATATATGCCATTTATGTTGTACCTAAGTAACAAGAATTAATTATGTCAAGTATTAATGATTTCTCTTAAAATCTTTTAAATCTTTTGTTTTTGTCAGAATTACAGCATTAGAAAATGTCCTCATAGTGGCATCCATTTCACAAGACTATCCCATAACAGTTAAAAAAACAAAAGAAAATCAAAGCCAAACCATACTGGTTAGCATATAACTTAATTAGTGCTTTTGTTGTATCAGAAAGTTCACTCAAACACGTATTATGTACAGCACAAACAACATAAGTTATTTAACTTAACATCTCTCAAAGTTTCTCAGCGTCTGCTTTAACGTCATTCTCTGCGATATCGTACTATTTACAGTATATAGGCAAAGGTTAAGTACCAGTGAATTCAGATAAATAAAGAGATACTTCCCCTGCTGTTTTTCATTTATTCCATATGTATGTGTCATCGTTTCCTTTCAGTACCTCTGCATGTTTCATAGTTGTTTTTGCAGTTTGTCGTGGTCTTTGTTGGGTCGTGTGTTCCCAAGCTCAGAACACAGCGTGTACTACATTCAACGTGTCTTGTGTTACAATCTAGAAAGTTTGTAAGTGCAAGACCATGCATTTAGCTCTGGCACTCCCCGCCTGGCTCTCTATCAGCGGAGGCCGTGGAATAGAGCTTTCTGAGCAGCCCATTGAACAGCCGCTCGGTCTGTGTCGTGCATTACCCACATTGCTCGGCGCTGCTTGCTTGCTTGCTTGCACCTGCCAGCCAAACACACGTGGTGTGACTTAGCTCCGCAATGAGGCATCAGGTGAGAGAATGTAAGATTCTGAGCTGTCGAGATATAAATAACATTCAGGTTCCTGTCCTTTATTTTGGCAGGTCATGACTTCCTGCAGAATGAGTGTGTCTGTTTCTGTGTGTGCAGGATGTTCCAGGAGAACAGTGGCTGAGTGAGTGAGTGAAGTGTGTAAAGGTGCTGAGGCTTGGGCTCAGACAGGCCACAAGATCATATTCATGCTGTGACGTTTGGATGCCACACCTGCATGCATGTGTGCTGCAAGGCAATGTCAAGTTCGTGTTTATGGATCCTCCATCTCTGGCGTATTAATAAATATATTACTCTGGTTCTTTAATACATTATCTTGTACTGTGGGGAGAGGAGAGTGTAATCTTAGAGAGGCTGTATCTCTCACTTGGCTCTGCTGAACATTCAGTCGCTAAAATGATCACGTAAATCTTTGATATACTGCGTGTTTATAGGTCCAAACAAAAACAAGCCCATCAGTCAGGAGCTGATGGGCAGAGTAAGGCTTTGGATTGGTGATCTTTAAAAAACATTCACCTCTGAAAATAAATATTTTTTTTTATATTTCTATTGTGTGAATTGGTACCAACCTGGTTTTTGCTGAGGTAGGGTTTCTCTTTAAGCAAATGTTACCTTTGATTTTAAATATGCTCATAAATGCCACCTCTTTTTTTGCAGTACAATCTGTATACAAATTCACACACACTTCATTGAATGCATACATACAAGATAAATAAATAAATATATGTATTCTGTATGCATGAAAGGTTTCTTTTTTTTTTTTTTTCTTTTTTGCGTGTATGTGTGTGCACACATTGCTCTCCAGGTTTGGTTCACAGGTTTTCAGGTGAGACAGTCTGGTAACTTCTGGCTGGAGCCATAAGAAAACCAGATGAAAGTGTATAAATGGCATAAGAACAAAAATAATAATTAACATAACAACATACTGCAGAATCATTTTGCAGGCCTATGCAAAGAGATAAACAGTTACCTATCTATGTTTAGAGTTAAAGTCTGTTTAAGTTCTTGTCATCTGTTAAGTCGTCTAGTACAGCAGCAGCAATGGCGCCCCGAATGTTTTGGTGCCGAGAAAAGTGGAGGGAAGATTTGGGGCAAGGGTCAAGTGTCCGTGTTGCCATGGTGATGGCCATTCCCGTGACCCTCGAAGGCGGCAAAGAGGTCAAAGGACATTGACTGCAGTGCATGGTCCAGCTGTCGCTGTGGCGACCCCGTCACTTGGCTTCAGCAAAATCCTACGCTCGCAGGAAAAGGAGGGAGAGGAGAGGGAGGGGGCGGGGCCAGGCTTCATTCTGAAAGAAGAAAGAGAAGAAGAAGGAAAACATGAGTGAGTTTGTTGTCATATGATTCACTGACACATGCTGAGTGAATTTCACTGCTCCTGAGACTGAGTTCAGGCTCATTTTTGAGTAAATGTGATTTATTGCAGAGAGAAAAAAGGGCAGAGGAGGTCAAACGGATACCCCTACTCTGTTACCAAGTAAGGAATAAGTGCTCTTCAAGCGGCCTGCCTCAGTGTGTACGTGTGTGTGTGTGTGTATCTGTGTGAGTGTGTGTGTATTCCTCAGCTGGTAGACACTGAAGTGGCAGGTGCTTTCATGGCAGGGGAAAAACAGAGTGGCATTTAGCACCATGCAGCTGACACAGGGACAGTCTCCAATGACGGAAAAAAAAAAAAAAGACATGACAACAAAACTCCCACACACTCACACACACTCACACAGGTATTTTTTGATCGCACACCATCTGAAGTAGAAAAAAAAAAAGCTGTGTCCCTCCCACACATTACAAAGCTGTGTACTTTCACATACTATAAACCCTGAGTGTCGTTTTTCTCCCAGTGGAAAGCAGCACTGACCCTTGCCCCTGTGTACTTGTTTGTGGGGTTTCATTTGCATGCAGCGCTATCAAATGGGAGCGGAAGTCTTGGCTGACACACACTAACACAAAAACACACACACACACACATATAGCCCGGCTGCATTTCTTCCCTCTTTCGCTGTCTCCTCTCCCTCTTCCTGAGCCAGGAACAAGAGCTGTTTTCACAAAGCTGGATGTGATCGCCATTCTCTAAAACAAACCTTTCATTCAGAGTCTTCATGCCCTCCCCTCCACCCCCCCAACTCCTCAACTACTCCCACCATAAACACACACACACGTCTGTTCTCTGTCCTTAGCCTATACGTTGAGTATAAGGGAAAATCAGAGTCTGATGTCAAATGTTAAAGTTAGCAGACACAACATTCAGGGGTGAAAAAGCATCAAAGAAGGAGATAACAGGCCGGTGCTGGTGCACACACGCTCAGGGATGTGTAATATGCAAAAATACTCAACTCAAGGGGGTAATTTGACAAATGAAATGATTGATTCCCCTCCTAAGGCCACCTGTGCTGGCAGCGCTCTCCCTTTTTATTGCTGTGGGTGTCAGAGAGAGAGAAAGGGAAATAGAAACGGTGGGGTGGGAAGTGGTGGAAAAACCACAGTAACAGAATCAACCTGACAGAGAGGAACGGGAATGCAGTGAGGTCATGGGACCGACCGTCCATAACAGTCTGAGTGCGTGTGCGTGCGTGAGCGTGTGTGTTTCTGGAGGGGCTGGGCCAGCCGGCGGCGGCCTGTAGAGGCAGACACTTGGGTGAGAATGACTGAGGTCTGCCGGGAAGAGGAGTTGAATCATAAACAGCTCAGATTAGCAGCCAGGTGTGTAGCCATGAACATAAACATTAAACATTCCTAATATTCGATGAATAATGGAGCGACTGGACGGAGCTCCGTACACACATACACACACACACACACAGGGCCTTTCAAACAGAGGGGACTGTGGGTGGGCAGGAGAGATGTGGGCAGGGACAGGGGGGTTATTGAGAGTAGGGGACAGAGGTCCAGCGGGGGAATGAACCCGATGCCTCCTACCCCTCCTCTTTTTGGAGCACACACACACACACACATATCCCCCTCCCCTCCTATGTCTGTGCCCCCTGTCGCACACACACACCCAAGTTCTGTTCATTATTTATTTAGTTCTCACAGGCTAAATATAGTCATGCTCCATTCAGGGCTGGGACACACACACACTCACACACACATATATAAGCATGTTTAAGCAGCTCGGTCCCTGGTGCTCCAGAAGCAGAGTAAACATGTCCTCGTGTCTGTCTGTCTGTCAGCGGCCGCTGCAGTAGTTCTGTCTGAATGAATGAATGAGCTTTCAGGAAGAAACCGTATTACAAAACAGCTAAAAAAAAGGAAGGAGATCATCAACTGTAAATGAGCTTCTGCAAACAAACAGCCAAAAGTGATGTTAGGAGCTTCCTCCTGCAGACAGGGAGACATCAGCAGGCTCAGATCTGCTCTGTTTACATTCCTGCCCGGCCGGCTCCTCCCTGATCTACAGCAGCGCTCCGCCAAACAAACACCGACTGACTCCTCACCTCTGACCTCGCACACCTCCGCCAGACCAGCGAAAACAAAAACAACACGCGCTGTTGGCTCTGTTATCCTTCTGACTCATTATCGCATGAATGCAAGATAACACATTTAATTGCTGATTTTGATATGACCTGACCGCAGAAACAGCTTCAGTGTCAAGGACCAAATCTCAGCTTTTTCTTAATGAACGGTCGGTAAAATAACCAGATAATTTAGAAAATAATAAGACAATCTGACTTTAAGGGCAAAGCCATAGATTTTGAATTAAGCAGACAGTTTTCAGACTTCCGAAACGGAGAGATTTTACTGCAACTGATCAAGAAAGTTATCAATAACAGTAGAGACCACACTACAGCAGTGTATTGTTTTAATAAGCTTAAATGTCCACATCCCCATGAAGAAGCATCTGGTACAGCAAAGGGCCTTTAAGTCCACAATTAGCTGGACTGTTTACAAATGAAAGACGCTGGCAGTCTCGGCCTACCTGATGCAACCGCTCGTGCGAGGTGTGTAAGTACAGTGAGGTTTGTCACACACACACTGAGGATTTCTCTCTTCTTCATCTATCTCTAGACAAAACAAGCTACTCAACAATGTCTAATCCTGAAGTGAATGTAATCCTTCTTACCTCCAAGCTAAATTGAGGATACGGTAGGTTGAGTTTGTTTTTATCTAGCTCTGGAACATCCCGTCCTACTTTAGTCAAAGAGTTATGTATCAGACAGCCAGGAGCGCTGTGTACAGTATGTGTGTGTGTGTGTGTCTGAAGAGTGGAGGGGAGGGGAGGGGGGCACAGGTGAGGACAAAGACTGTATGTTCCCAAAAGTGCTGCATGTCATCACATATTAAAATAGAGCCATTGTTGTGGAGTTACATTTTTTTATCTTGTAATATGCGCCTCTTTGGCTCTAAAACTAAAGTGCAATGTGTTAGCCGACTGAAAGTACACCCTGTTTAGATGATTAGGATTTATCCTGAGTCTACCTGCATAGATAAGCTCTGCTACTGAAGAATTAAACCCTGGATATGTTTTATCACAGATAGTTATTTTTTACATCTGAATGCTTGCCCTGGTTACATTTCGCATGATGACAGTTTACCCAAACACAACCAGGACTAGGGGTGGGAGAAAAAAACGATAAAACATAGTATCACAATATTTTGTCCTGTGATATATCGAATCATCTTATTGACCAAGTATCAATTTTTCAAATTAAATGTTAATATGAAGTCAAATTTCTGATAATGGAAAAATAAAATCAACTGTTTTTCCTGTGAGGTTGGCAGAAGTGACATTAGAGAGCAGGAGAGAGTTAGTATAACAAATAAACATGTGGTTTGCAAGATGTGCTACGTGAAAATAAAATACTGTGTAAATAGTGACATAAAAGAAAGACAAATGCTAATTTAGCTAAACGGTTGTAAAGATTTTATAAATCGCAATAATAATATAATATCGTGGCCCAAGTATTATATCGATAATATCATGATTCCCACCCTTAACCAGGACCCATCTTTACCTCCATTTTCATAACATAAAGGTGTGCCTGTTTACATCAGGCTAGTAGAGCATTATAGCATTATGGAAGTAGCTGCAATGATCTGAACATTGAGAGAAGATTAATGAAGATTTGATTAGCTAATTGTTCCTCCAGTGTGAAAAGCCAATCAAAGAGAGTCCACTGAGGAAGAAAACAAGACTTCAATTCAAGGGTGTGGAATGGAAAGGTGTGTGTGTGTGTGTGTGTGTGTGATTGGGAGATAGAATCATATGCTTTCTAAAAAACAGAAACTAGAAGAAGGGAAACATATGAGAGGATAAGGGGGGGATTCTAGGAAGGAGTGTAGCTCCTTGAAGCAAGCCTTGCCACACCCCCACCTTCTCCTCCCTGTTGTTGTTGTGGCAGATGGTGGCCGGTCATTAGCGTATTGTCACTCTTCTCTGATGGGCCAGATAACCAGTGAGCACTGCTTGGCGGGGCAGGTGCAAAAAAAAAAAAAAAAGAAGCACCCCACCCCCACCCTACCACCACTTCACCATCTGCTAATGATCGTGTATATGTACGCAACACCAGAGAGGAAGACACTCAGATAAAGAGGAAATGTGTGTGCTTTCTTTGAGAGGTCCAGTTGAGTGTGAGAGTGAAAATGTGGAACAAGAGAAAGATGTTAAAAAAAAAAAAGTGAAATCTGAGATAAAGTAGTGTCACAATCTCAAATACTGAGGAAAAAGTTGCACAAATATTCACCACACCTCCCTGTTTTGTGTCCTTCACTGAGACGGGCGTGTGCACATTTCTGGAAAGGCCCCTTCAGAAGTATCTCCCCCCTCTTTCAGACTCCAGAGCTGGTTCAAAGGTCAAGAAACTGACATCGCCAGAGCCAGAAGGCGTGCACTGAAAGCTAAACATACCCCCTCCGCACTACCCCATCGCCTCCTCTCTCTCCCTGCGCGTCACATCGGGGCCAAAAACCCAAACAACAACACGGAAACCTATCAGCTAACAGCCTCAACCTCTCGGCGAGAAGCCACGTGAAAACCTCTACACACACCAGCGGGCGAGATACGCTTACGCATTTGCATGTTAGTGGAGCCGAGGAGCAAAGTCTCCCTCTCCAACTCTGCATTAGCTTCACATGCCAAATGAGGACAGGTGACTTCCTAATCCACCTGTTCAAATTGTTGTTCAGCAGGGAATGCAAATTGCTCACTGGCTCTGTGATAATACGAGAATGCGGTCAAGCCTGTCATCTCGTAGTAAACAGTCATGCCTCCTTTTTTTTTCCCCCTCTCTTGCTCACACACACAAGCACACACGCAATAGACGTGGGTTTTGTAGTTTAATGGCAATATCCATGACTTGCCACGCTGCCGGTCACATCCCTCACCAGTGCTGAGTCATTCACTATTATGTGCGAGGATGTTTGTTTGTTTGTTAGGAGGGGCTTACATAACCAAGAGACAGTAACAAAGGCAAACTCTTACCGGAATGACACTGATCTCATTTCTTTCCTTCTGTCTTTCTTCTTCCTTCACTCCCCCTCACTCACTTTCTCCCTCCCTTCAGCAAACAGCTCAATTGTCTGTTTTGCTGTCTGTGAGAAACAAAGCAAGTCATCCATCCTTCCTCATTGTTCCTCCACCTGTCTTCCTCCTCTCTCTACCCCCCTTTTTTGCTCCTGGAGCTCAACAAAATTCAATATTTGAGCCCTGTGTTCAGAACACACAAAAACACAAGGACACAGCAGAGAGATGGGACAATAATTGTTGGGCTCACAATAGATGTGAGGGCCTGCTTACATGTACACGCATGTGTAGTACAAAAGATAAGCCGGCCCTCACTTCTTTATAAAACGGTCTCTTCACTGTGTTTGTGAAGTTTCTCAGTTAATAAAAAAGGATCCTTCAATCCCCCCTCTGAGCTCATCCCACAAGGTTAGAAAAACAAGTGAGCATTCACCTCTCCCAGCAACCTTTGCACACTGCCCACATTCCAGTCCTGAAACCCAGTACCTGACAATTGATAAACAACTGACTCACTTGTTTTTCTGGGGAACTCAATGACTTGCACCAAGCCCCACACTGGCTGAGCTCGCAGTGTGAGATCCAGCAGAGACAGAGACCAAGGAGACAAACTGGGTTGTGAAACCACAATCAACAATTACACTTCTGTATTTCACAATAAGACACACTACTACTTCTGACTCATGATGATCCCTACACGCTTTTCTTTACAAACAGCAACTGTGAATTATCCCTGCAATTATAAGATACATGAAAATCCAGTGATGCAACAGTAAAGAAAATGAGGTGAAAGGTAATATTTCGATGGCAACTATTTACCCCGACAAAGGCGCTCAGTCAGGAGCATTTCACGGCTTTTTCACACGCATACCAGTCATATAAGAGCGAAGTTACTCTGTGTTACAAAATCAAACATGGTGTGTAGTGCTGCATGCGTCACTGCATCAAACTCCATGTTTTTTGAAATACTGACGTGTATAAAACTGCGTCATCAAGGGAAGACCAGAGGAGACCATTCACACAAACACAGACTCTGCATCAAGCCAGCCTGAACAGAAAGAGAAGATGTCCAGAGAGAGCTCCAAAATAAAACCGTTTGAAAATATGATGAAACAGGCAAATCTATTCAGGTCAAGAGAATATTGAAGTGAAAAACAATTGCCGAGTCCCTTTAATGATAGCCGTGATGAAAGCGTCTGATTATTTATGAGTCATTCCACCGTTTTTAGCTTTTGGTTATTTTCAGGCTTTTATTTAGAAAGAGAGACGTCTGTTTTCCTGTGATCCTGCTCTGATATCTCTGCGCTGTTCAAAGCCCATCAAAGAGCCAGAGAACAGCCCTCTGCAGCATCACACAGCCTTGAGATTTGTCCATGTGCCATGGGTGTGACAAGTAGGTGACTAATCCTATCTAAACATAACAACCTACACCCAGCGGCAACTTTCATAACAACTTCACTTCCCTCTGCTCCTGCAGTCTGCGTTTACTGACTTTAATTACAGTTCTGATACTAAACCACCTTGTTAATGAGATATGATGCATATGTTTTGCTGTATTTAATCAGAATAAAAACCTCCAGCCCAGCAGGGTTTTTTTTTTTCATTTTCATTAAGATGTAGAGTCAGAATTTGGTCTCATTGGCGGTCTCTTTCCTTTTAAAGGCAGGGACATGAACAACATGAAACAGACACCTACAATAAAAGATTGGATAAAAACATTTAAGAGTCAAAGAAGTTTAAAATTCTCTAATACAGACACAAATTAAGCTGTTTGTTTCTTTTTCCCTCTCTAAAAGGCAGACAACATTTTCCACTTTGGAATGAAAACGAGCTCAGACCTGCTGCTTAGCAACCAGCAGCCTATCTCTGCAGAGTATACAGGAGCCCTGAGGCGGATCTCTATCCTACTCAAGCACCACTCCCTTCATGAATGAACCCTGAATGAATGAGTGTTAATGTGTGTGTGTACATGTGTGTGTATGTCTGGGTTTGTGTGCGACTGAAAACACTCACCTTTGACAGCAGCAGCAGCAGTCTCCTTGAATCCAAGGCTGGCATATGGGCTCGTGTTGAAACCATTCATGCCCCCCTTGCAGCCACAGGTGGTCTTGAATCTCAGGAGTCCGTCAGAGTCCCCTAATCGGCACCCTCCAAGGTTTCCCTCCATCAGGTTTAAGGCAATGTAATTAAGTCCATTTTGATAACCAGCTGACATCTCCCTGCACATGGGGCTGTTGCTGCTGTAGTCCTCTTCAGGTCCCTCTGAGCTGCAAACTGTGCGGGACACGTTCTCCACAGAGGCCGAGCTGTGCCGTTTGGTGTCATGGGCGAAGGATGGACATACAGGAGTGACAGTAGTGGTGGAGGAGAAGGTCTCAGAACTGTGCCGCCGCCGCCCCTGAGGGTCTGCCCGGATGACTTTTGCCCCCCTGTGTGGGTCTAAAAGGGTGACTGATAATGATGTTCCCCCGAGGAGGAAAGAGTCCAGTGGTACAGGTGGAACTTCATCCACCATGCTGCTCTCCAGGCTGAGTCTCTTGACGCCTGCAGTGGGGCTGGTGGGGAGGGGAGCAGCATCAGTGGTGCAGAGAGCAGGTAGAGGCGCAGCCGGGCTGAAAGTCATCTCAGTGTAGTCATCCTTGACTAGAGCCGGCTGACACACCAGGCTCACCTGCTGTTGGAGAGGATATTCCTCTACCATCCCCCTCTCCTCTGGGTCTCTTCCTATGCTCTTCCCCTCCTTCTCCTTCTCTCCTCCCTGCATGTTCTGGTGGTCTTCCACTAGACCAGGGCAAGCGAAGATTTCAGGCATGCGATGACTGACCCCTGCAGGGGGGGAGCCCCCTGTTTGGTGAGATCCAAGGTGACTTGAGGAGCTGACATCAAGATTAGCATAGTCTGAAAGTGGTGATGATGTTCTCTCTGCACACACTGAGGACTCAGAGCTCTCTGCAGAAACTGCAGAGGACAGCTGGTTGTGGGTAGCACTACTGAAGTCTATGTTGATGTATTCTCCAGGGCTGCGTGGCTCTGCGGGAAGGGGGTGTTCGCTCATACAAGGTAGAGTCCTAAGAGAATCTAGAGCCAGACGGGTGGGCCGACCCACCCTATTCCTATGTACTAGACCTCCATCTATCCGTGTCGTTCTGTGAGGAAAGGGTACAGAGGAAGGCGTACCTGGTGTTACCGGAGATCTGCTAGCTTCAGAGTCCCCTGGAGAAATAGGACAATAGTTGGACTCCTCTTCTATCCGCTGTCTCTGTAAACTCATCACCACGTACTGGTCTGTGTCTGTGGAGCCGTTGCGCTGCATCTGGCTTTTGAGTGAGCGGGGAAGAGAGCTGTAAGAGTAAGGCTGTCTGTGAGGCTGCTGGGGGTGGGGGTCTCCTCCTGTAGGACTGAGGATGAATTCTGGGGGTGTGAGGGACACAAGAGAGTCAACTGGAGACATGTTTAGGTATTCTCCATTAGTGAGCTTTCCATCAGTGCTCTCCACTGACATCTTGGTTCCGCACCACATCCGCATATAGCCGCTGTCCTCAAGAGAAACACTCCCAGGGGAGTCAGTGCGTGGAGCCAGCCCGACTGAGGAGGGGTGTGAACGGGGGTTGATGATCTGCTTGGGCGCAGAAACACACATGGGGCTCATGGGCATGTAGGGGTCATCCTTTGAGCCTGGTGTCTGGGGCGCCACACCTGGCATCATAGGCATGTAGCCACTGTCTTCTTGGACACTGCCAGCACTGATCTGAACGTCCCTATAGTCCTCTGGGTAGGTCCCTTTGGGGGACGCAGTGTGACACCTGCGAGAAGAAAGGCTGTTGTAGGTGGCCCTCATAAGAGTGTATTCATCCAGGGAGGCGGAGGATACTTGTGGGGGGCATCTCTGCTGCCGAGGAGTAGTGAGGGAGTAAGTGCGCTTCCTGTAAGCTTTGTCCAGCTCTGGTAACCGACGGTAATTATTCTGCTTCTGACGCTCCATCACCATGTAGCCATCGAGCTCACTGCCATCTCGGGAGGGTGGGGTATCAGCTTTGAGAGACTCTGGCGTGTTGCTCCGCAGAGTGAGTGGTAGTCTCAGATCCCGTGCATCTGCAGGGCTGGAGCCGTACTCCTCACATGATATGAAACCGGCATCACTGGGAGAGCCTGAGAAAGAGGCACTGCAGCTGGAGGGGCGAGGTGCACTGCTATCTGGGCACGAGGACAGATTCCCTGGGCTGGGGGTGGTCATGGGTGGGGAGTGAGACAGGGACATAGACATGGACTTGCTGTGCTGGAGAGAAGACGATTCAAATGTCCGACAGGGTCGTGCTGTTAGAGTGTGAGACCTGCTCAGGAGGGTCCTGTGGACCCCGGGGCTCAGGGGGCTGCCAGTCACTGACATGGGGCGGGCCATGGTGCCATCACCCTCGCTTGCTGTTCGTATTCGACAGGGGGAAAATTTGCCCACAGGGGACGTCGCAGCCATGCTGTCAGTGCGAGACCGCCGGGGAAGCCCTATATGGCGGGGGGGAAGGTTGTTAAGGTGCCTCCGCGTGGGGACAGAGATGGGGTTCGTACCGGATGACTGGCTCTTGCTGCGCGGACGGAATTCCGACAGCTCCTTCATGGCTTTCATCGCCTCTAGAATAGTTTCGTGGATATTTTGCGCCACCACAGAGTCATCAGCCTGCATCCATAACTCCCCTGGTCCCGTGGCTGCAGATCGACCAACCTCAATGAAGAAAAAGCTGTCAGAGTGGCCGCACCTCCGGATATTCATCAGCTGTAAAATGACGGAGGCGATCTCCGTGTTCAGCTTCACAAAGCTGATAGTCCGGCTCGAAAGACAGAGCCTATACACCCCCGTCAAATTTCTGCTTTGCCCCAAGCCTTTAGATTTAAGATTTACTTGCCAGACCTCCTTGTAGGCAGCGGAAACCGGCGTTATTACGCCGTAGCTCGCCTCGTCGAAGCCAACCAGCGAGGACGCAGAGTTGGACGCTGAGCCGTCGTACACTTTCCCCTCTGCCATTAAATCCGTCAGCACCCGGTACCAGCTCTCCTGTTCCTGCTCGTTTTCTGCCGCCACGGCAAAATACTCGTCCTTGGTGTAAAGAGCGATCAGGTATTTGTGTTTTGCGTCCGCTCTCTTGTTGATATTGAGGCAGCAGTCCAGAGGAATAACTCTCTTCGCGGCCGATTTGTTTTTCCATTTCTTCTCGCTCTCGTAGTACTCCAGCCGGGCAGGGAAACCTTCACTCGCCTCCTTTAACACGAAAAAACGCTTGTGTCCGTGTTTCTGCTTCTTCAAATATCCACATTTCTTGATTTTGTTGCTCACGTTTGTTGTAGTAGTAGTCGTAGTAGTAGTAGTGGGTATAATCGGCTGGTCTCCCGTGTTTGGCGGACTCGCCATTCTCGTGTCCTTCGCTCTCAGACACAATGCTTCCTTCCACTCGAGTTGCTGAAGAAACGTCGCGCTTTTATTTTAATCGTCTGTTTGTGGAGCCGGTTCAGCGTTCGCCCGTCTTCTCCAAAAGCTGAGCGATAAATAACACATGTCTGCTACAGTGTCCGGACTGAGGAGGGAGAAACAACATGTGACGATCTACACATCCAGAGCTGGTTTAAAAAAAACGAGAGGAAAGGAGAAGGAAAAAAATACACACACCGACAGTGGGCGGTGCGCGCTCAGCTCATTGGGCTTATTGGTGGAAACGGGATGAATGCTGGAGTGAGAGAGAGGAGGAAAAAGCCCTCCTACTATCACTCTGCCCTCTTCCGTCTCATTTGAGCGTAGTCAGTCAGGACTCGAGCTTTATTTAGAGCATCTCTGGTCCTGTGATCCAACATTTGACTACAGGGAGATTTTTTCTTCTTATCTTAATTTACCAAATGAGATGTTTCTGACCTAGAAAGCCTGAAAGTGCGTCATTTGAGAAGTTGATGTTGATTATGAAACACGTTACAGTGAATGTGTGAATGAAAAGTACCCCTTGTTTATCACATTAAAACGCATTTTTCTCCTCATGAATAAGTATTTTAATTTGCCTTTGGTGATATTTCAGCGTATCTACTGAGGGAGTCCTCCCCTCTAAGTGGTAAACAAGCTTGATCTAGTCGAGACTGCAGCTCTGTGACAGGAATCTAATATTCCCTCCGCGGCGCCTTACAGGAATACATCCACGGTCTCAAATGGATATTCTAGCCCTGCTTTCCCTTTCGGTCTGTAGTGAAAGTACCAAAGTATTCATGATAAACAAGCAGCCTAGTACGAGAAGTGGGTAAGGGCAGATATAGAGCAGTGTGCTTTATTGCGTAACATGGTCGCCTACTGCTTTATTCATGTTTGCCTGGAGCTCCTGGGATAGCTGCTCGGTTACAGTCTGTTTCCGGCTATATTTGTCTTTCCATTCAGAAACAGCACGACGGCGCGACAGATATAATTCAGGCTGACAATATGTATGAAAGGCAAGTGTGGGCAGAAGCTTTATTAACAAAAAAAAAAAATAAAGCCATCCCTCCTGCCCCCCCACCCCTCCCTCCAAGTGAGTGAAACAGAGGAATGACCCATATAAGGCTGTATATAAAAAAAAAGAGAGCACGATGAGACGATGACGTGAAAAATTCTCCTGATCCGAATGCGTCAATGGCTGGTTATGTGCGTAATAGTGAAACGCTGGAGCCAGCCCAGTTCTGTGGTGTGTGGATGAAGATGAGAGTGAGGAGGGAACTGGCAGCAGGTAGCCTGACTTCTACCTCCTGTGGGGAATATGGGACTGTCCTCCTCCTGCTGGACAGGAAGAGGAGGTGGTTAGTTGGTCAGATGTAGATCAAGAGTGGAAAAAGTACAGAAATAATCAACACAAGTAAAAGTACAGCAACTGTGATTAGACTCCACTTACAGTGAGTGAATGTAAAACTATCCGACCCTTGAGCTACCCAAGAAAAAGTAGAAATGAATAAAATATGCCCTGAAAAGTAGGCCGTATAAAGACATTGTTTTCCCCAAAGTACTTATTATAATGTAACTGGTAGCGTTAATCTGTAAAGTGGTTTATTTGTTGTAGAATTACTGAATATTTCTGCTCCCCTTTGTGAGTTTTGCACTACTCATTAAAGCTTGATCTAAGTTTGATGAGATATTTGACAAGCAGTGAGTCAAATTTACCCCATCGGAGCCACATATAATAGTACTGCTACACAAAAAGCTACAATGCATAAGTACATCCAAGTAGTTTCAGTCCATTCCACTGGCAGCAATAAAGCTAGAAATCCTAAAATTTTTAGGAAACATCAACTTCTTGTCATAACTAATCACATTTTCAGTCTGCTATCTGTTAAAAAGCAAAAAAATGATGATAACTATTGGCAAAGTGCTACAGCAAAAGTAGACTTGGTGCGTATCTTAAGCAGTGCCGCGCTCGATGCGCATACGGAGCTGCGACGGAGCTGATACGCGTCATCTATGCGATACTTCATTGATTAGAATGGCAAACTATTTGCCGCGTGACACGTGACGCTACAATGCATAAGTACATCCAAGTAGTTTCAGTCCATTCCACTGGCAGCAATAAAGCTAGAAATCCTAAAACTTTTGGGAAACATCAACTTCTTCTCATAACTAATCACATTTTCAGTCAGCTATCTGTTAAAAAGCAAGAAAATGATAACTATTGGCAAAGTGTTATAGCAAAAATAGACTCGGAGCGTAACTTTAGCAGTGCCGTGCTCAATATGCTTCTGGTATGGAGCTGCGACGGAGCTGATACGCATCCTGTATACGATACCTCATTGATTAGAATGGCAACCTATTTGCTGCGTGATACATGACCCTGACATTACGTGATCTTGAATGTTTTAGCCTTTAGCCTTCTGCCTGTTCACAGCTACCATTAGGCCTACTTCATTTTAGATGGCAAGCTAAAGCGTGGCTAACTTTACAGCCTTATATTTTTACTCTCAGGATCAAATGATGTAATTACCAAATGGTAATATAAGCTTTTAGTGGTTATCCAATACTCATGCTGCATAACTCTACTGTTTTGTTTATGATGGTTTAGGTTATATATCCACTTGTTTTTTCACAAACATGTTTCAGTTGCTTAATGTTTAGAAAGTAGACATGACGATAGTTTTCAGGCACCCTTAGTTTATATGACATAGCACTCAAATCATAGGGTTATGACGTTATAGCTGCATATGAGCTTCCTACCCAGAATAACATCAGAGAAAAACAGGCTGTATGTGACTAAGATGCTGTCATATCACTGCGGTGCCAGGTCTTAAGACTTAAATGTCCAGTGATGAAAACATGTTGAAAACTATCCCAACCCCCCTCTTATAGCCTCCTTTTCCCTTTAGATCTCACAGTGCTGGCTCAGCAGCCAAACCCCCTTAGCAGCAAGGTCAATTACCATACCCTCTGCAGGTCAATTATGCCACCAGAAGCAATGATTTGACTACTGCCACTATGGAAAAGGAATCAAATCAGGTAACAACCTCACATGACCTGTCCCTCGAATAACCTCCATTCGGTTTCTGCCCAAAGGCAGGGATGAGTAGATTCTGTGCTCTCTGTAGTTGTTTTCTTTTCATTATTTGAGGGAGCCTTGACTTAAGTGCTATAAAGACATATCGATAAAAATAGATGTAGCAGAGCTAGCTGCCTAAACCTCCTTGGCTCAGATATCTCCCTGTAGGATAAGGAGGTTCCCTGTCTGTTGATATTAGGTTTCTTGCAGGACAGACATAGGCTTGGAGGTGAACTTTCACTCTCTAATAACAAACAACTGCTGCTGAATGATAACAGTGAGAGTGTGCTGTTGTCTGTACAATGTACAGATTCTGTCCGCGATACATTAGACTGACTGTTCCTGATAAGGTGCTGGATCATACAGTTACCTGACTCTGGCAGGGTAAACAATAACTGAGTGGGGGTAGTGTGAAGTAAAAGCAGAAACTGAAGGAGGGACTCTTTTTGCATAACACATGGAGCATAAAAAAATGCAAATCAACTGTCTATGAAATAACAATAAGGTGGGCGATTGTCCCATAAACCGTGCTGCTCACTAACCCACTCTGCTGGTGTCTGTGATGTGTCCTTGTCCTTTTCTTAGGTAACTGCATGAATATTTATCACCCCACAATTTACACAGCAGGGTGCATTAATTTACAAGTTAATTAAATGGGCAGCTGATCCTGATTTACAAGGCTTTAAATGGGTTCTCCCATCGTCTCCTGGTATGCACCCATTAGGCCTTTATAGGTTTATTTATTTAGGGATGGAGAGGGGTGTTCCTCGAAGGGTGCACCATCTCAAGACAGTCTTTTCTGAGTCACTCTCTGGATTTATTTTCTTTCCTAGAAGAGGCGATGTGTTGCTAGGGTCTTGGATGTGAGCAAATAATCGAATAGGGTTAAATAAGCAGTGTATAGTAGATTGTCTAAGTTCACTCAGTAGCTTGTTGCTTTGAACACTTAATCTCATTTAGGCTCTTAAGGCTGGCCTTTAAATACAAATAGCCTTGCTTGCCCCATTTGCTGAGTCACAATCGCCTAATGCCACAGTCACCCACTGCACTGTCACTGTGTGCGACGATTAGTTTCATAAGCTTTCATAAAGCAGATTAGAATAGCCGATTTGATGAGATAAGATTAGGGACAAGCAGGAGGGGGTAAAGATTAGGCTCAGTCATACTCCGCTCGCCGCTACGTATAAGGCCCCATCAAAAGAACAGCACAAACATATATTGTTGGCCACCAAACATCACACTCCTCATCAAACCTTGTCTTCATCTCATTAGTCAATAGAAAAACAGATTATAGCCAGAGCCTGGGGTGTTTGGTTCATATTGTTGTAGCGCTGTTGTTTTCATGTTTTTGATCAGAATATTATCCTGTTGTTATTAATAATCTGAGAGGGGGATATTTTGTGTTTTTTAGTCAGGTTTGTTGTGTTGGAGCCTTTCAAGAAAGCACGGATTAACCTTTGTTTGCAAATTTGACTCAAATATGACTTCAATTTATGCATAACAAAGGATACCTGTAATACATGTTTGTGTATCACCTCTTGGAAAATAATAGTTTTGCATACCGCTTATAAAAATTGTTACATATACAGCTATTAAAGTGAAATCACTGTACATTGTTGACTATTTTTTTCCACATGCATGCAGTCTGATTGTGCAGAAATGAGAAAAAGGTCAAATTCAGCACTTTTCATGGGGATCATTTCAGCTATGTGTGAAATACATGGTTGGATTACACTCAGCGACATCACTGTTGTGTTTCTCATTTAAAGGAAGAAACACAGACAGAGAATATTTAAGCTTTCCTCCTTCAAACATTGTTCTCCACTAAGCGTGTAATTTCTCCCGCCCAGGTAATGATAATGGAGGCTGTTTTTAGACCTCTTGAACACATACCATATAGATCGCTCTGTTCAATCTCATGTTGTCACCCATAATTGACTCAATGCTCTAATCAATACAGCAAACGTGAAATTGAAATTTCTCTACTAGTTAATTTTTGCGCTGATTGATCACAGGCAGGCAGAGCGGCGGGAAGGACGGCGTGCGTCGATGGAGATCTTTGTATTATTGGACATGACTGCGTGCGCCAGTATTGAGCCACAGCACGAGTGATTACAGTTTTGATTACTTCAGTTAACCAATTTATTGGGATGGATGTAATATAAATTTGATTAATCTGCAAATTGGAAACAGGGTCTGCAGTGTTATCGCATATAATAGCAGTAGTGGTTGTTATGCTGTGTTTAGGGCCCCAAGTACATCATATAATAATTGTTTTAAATTAGATTACCCACTGTGTGAGTTCTTGAAACAGTTTTTTACCACTGCTCTTTCACTGGTGTTGTTTACATTAAATAATCTCTATAACTGGATTTTAACTTGGGCTTCATTTGGTCTATTTTCTTACATTTTTGTCCCCTTTTTGTTCCTTTACGAAGCACTCCAACATGTGTTTTTATGCAATGCGCTCTGACATAAATCTAATTGAGTATGGTTGTGCATGTTTAATATAAAACTAAGGAACAGCGTAGTCACATGGCATTTTCCGTAGACCTCTCTACACTGTGTAAATTTCCCTCTTGACTGTTGTCCCACCTTATCTTCACATTATGTTACCACCTCTTTCTAATAATTTGTTGCGCAGACACTTCAAATGCCTGGGGTTTTCTCATTTCACAGGTCACTGAGACACATATTTATTTGATATGCTCATTAGAAGGGACAGGAGGCTCCGGGCACAGCATGCTCATATGACCAGAAGAGAAACCAATGATAATATGTTTATGTAGGCCAAAGACATACACAGACAACATTTTTATTCATGAGCACGTCTGGATGCACACAGAGAAATGATACAGCAGCCTGCCATCTGAAATCTTAGCCCTTGGTAGCTGTGATTAAAACACTGAATGTAGATGATATTCAGGCTCCATAATACCATCATCAGTCATTTGTCATAATTATGCGGTCATGTGATTTCTTATAAATGACACTGATTCATGAGCAACCTCTCCAGTTTGGTCAGGACATGACTGTGACAGAAGGACAGGACATTTTAAACCAAACAGCTGAAAAACAACCGTTTAAAAATGACACTGCCTTGAACTTCTGTGTCTGGATGACTGGCAGATTATTTATACGAGAGACAATGTGGGCCATTTTTGTATTGTAGCTGTGATAGTTGTATTTTAGTCCACTGCTGCACAGTGATCATCAATGCGTAGATGTTGTTTCCTCAGAATTAATCACACGGTCCACACAGCGGAAGAAGATTAAAGGGAAGGTGGGTGGCATCTGCAGTATTTAAATTGGGACCAATCTAAGTGGGAGTGTGTAGGAAGTTACCCATCGCGGCTTGTTTGTGTGTTTGTGTTTGTGTGTGTGATGTTTAGGCGTGCATTGATTTTTACCGTGACTTAGCCTCAACTGACCTGCTGATCTAATATTCTTTCCCTCCTCCGAAACACACTCATTCTGTCCTTCTCTTGTTCTATTTTTCTCACACAAACAGGAAATGCTGTAGTACTCATCACATTTTGTGCTTTTAAGCGTCTCGCACTGTTGGTAGACAGAATTATGCAAAAAGAGGTCTAATGAGGTAGCGATAACAATGTACAGGCTTTCTAAAAAGATAAACTTTCTTTTTGTTCCCTGCTTCTGATAACTTTTGTGAGTTTAAAGTCCCAAACGGATGAAATCAAAAACAAGTGGAGGCATAACCAATAGCAGTGGACTGTATCCTTTTTTTCAACAACATAAGCCTATTTAGCCTGCAATTTCAGTCACAAGAGACCTGACTACATAAACATTCACAGCTCAACGGATTATTTAAGTGTGCATCATTAAGCGAGATGCTGGAAACAACACCAACCAGAACTGAGAAAAACAAAGATTTCTATTAGAAAAAGCACACAAGTACAATTTGGTTCAGAAAGTTATTAGAAATTGAACAAATATTAGCATTGAGTTTAACAGACATTAAAAAGTCCAAATGATTGCACTATTTATTTATTACAGTTGCAATTTAAATCTGTGAGTTGTTAGACAAGTTAAAATCTGCCCCAAGACGCATCTTAGGTGTTCAGATCAGATTACAAGAGGACAGATATGAGCATAGTTTAGATTCCTGTCTAAAAGTATACAGGAATGAGTTCAAGGATGTGTCAGAAAAACACTGACCCAGGTCATCTCCACTCCATCCACCCACATATATATTTGATGGTATTCCCGTCATCAAGTAACACTTCACTAAAAGGCACTGTGAGCGGGGGCAGAGCCGACAAAATCAACACTGTTAGCCTGTTTGTGGCCGACACATGCAAGAAAAACCAACTCCCAACTGTATTTTGTACCACTTCAAGAAATTTGACCATGTGTGACTTTAATATGGCTAACATATTTACATGTACCCTAAAAGTCCAGTATGAGCCGAACTCGTGCAATAAATAAAATTTTAAGCATCACGTAACCATACTGATTATTCCACCTTTCCTCCTGTCAATACCTTACCTGAACTTGTGACATTGCAAACAAATCTAATTGAGTTTAAGCTAAGAAGATTTAACTGGTGACATAACTTGTAACCTTTTAAAGTTGCAAATAAGTATAGAAATAAAAAACCTCTATGTGCCGAACGGGCCAAGTTTGGGAGCTTTGGTTGAAATTGTCCAGTTTCGCCCCTAACTGCAGAGATTTTCACTATATTTGAAAGAAATTTTAGCTCTTAAACTGTTGCCTCCTCTTGAACCAAATAAAATGATTAGAGACATGATTGGTTGTTTCTTTTCCTGATTAATAGTGTCTGTGTTCATGTTGGATTTTCCTCTAAAAGAGTGGACCTGGAAGTGGCTGTAAATTCTGGTAGAGTTTGACAGTGAGAAGTAATTCAGCCAGCAGAAGAGTTTTCTGTCATAAGATCAGAAGTCAAAGTTTACAAAGTTTTGCTGTTAAAATTTTATGCATGGCCATTAATCATCACATAATCTCATCACTGCTTTCCATAACAAATGCTTAGTAAGAGCCACATCAGACAGATGGTGCTCATGGGAAATGCAGTTTTCATTCTGGAAAAATGCTAAAAAATTTCCTACAGCTTATAAAAACTCCAAGGACCCTTTGAAATAAATGGCCCAATCAAACCTCCTGTGCAACAATCAAAGTTGTAGATGAGTGAAAAAAAATCCTAATTTGTAAGCGTGTCTTCTGACTCTACACAAAGTTAACATGAAGTTGAGATTTTCAACATTTGTCAAATTAAAACTTAGCGAAAAGGTTAGAAGCATAGGCATATTTTTTTTTCCTTCTTTAGCTTCAACTGCCCCAGTTTCCCATCGATAAAATCAAGTGGGAACAGGAAGCGAAAATCCAATTACCAGTGGTCACTTGAGACACATTTCATATGCATTCGCCTCTCAGAAGTGAACCTCAATCCACCTTTACTGAAAATGGAAAAAAAAAAAAAATCAGCTTCTGATCAGGACACAAGATATGAAGGATTCACTGAGGTAACTATCAGTCAACTCTAATTATTTATGTCTTTTAGAAAATGTTTTACTATTTCATCACTGCTTCTTTGACATACACCAGCTTGCAGATCTCAGGCAAACACAAAAACATTTCAGGACTATCACAGTGTCCCATGCAGATGACATACAGGAGCAGCTGTTTTGTGTGTCAGCTTTAAGTAATGTACAGACAGAGAGAAAGTCACTTGTAAGGTCAGGCTTTATAACCTCATTATCGGAGGCTCCAGAGTGACTGCTGAGGGCTTGAATGTATTGCAAACTCCCTTTAATTTCCTGACTCCCACTGTCTCAAACTATCCTTGGAAAATGAATTCAACAGCAGCAGATATTTAGAACTTTTGGAAAGTCTCAATGAACCATATGATTAAATTATGCTATCCTATGAGTCATTTCATTTTTCCCTTTCTCATTTATGTTTCATTCATCTGACTGGAAAATGTCGTGAGTGCACGCGCTCGGTTGACCCGATAGTTGTAGACCTTAAAGAAACCTAAACAGACATCCAGTGAGCAGCTTTGGGCAGTTTGGTGCTGTCAGATAATTGGTTTTACAGTCCCTTTAACCTATTTATTGGGTTAACAGCATGCATTATACAAGCACATTATACAAGAGGAAGTTCTATTACACTCAATATCAGCATCACTGTGGCATTAAAGGGATATTCTGGTGTAAAATTAAGTTAGGGTCAAACACACCTTAACACAGAGTTAGACACCCTGGCGAGAGATGAATGTTGCCGACCGCTTGCTTCTCTAGTTATACCAGCTTTAGCAACGACCATAGATATCAATACAGAGAGCCACGCGCTCAACCACAACACCACTCTATAGCCACAAATAATGCTCAGAACAGCACCTAACGTCATCAACAGTACATATAGCGTCCTAGCCACAGCACTAGCCACCAAACATCTTTTTAACTTTGCCTGATTTCTGTAGCAGTGAGACTAAACACATCACCCACTCTCTTCCAGCAACCATTTGTTTGTATTTGTTTGTATAAAATATTGATAATATGACAAACTTTAATAACAACCTTTATTTATATAGCACTTTTCAGAACAGAGTTACAAGGTGCTTCACAACATAAAAAAAGAATAGAAAAGGAGATAGAAGACAATGAGATTATAATAAATCAGTCAACAGAATATACCACAGCAGGACATCGATACAACTGCCAAGACAATCAGCCAACAGGAATAGGATAAAGCTCTAGTGAAGAGTTTTTTGATGTTTATGAAATTTACTGAAATTCATATTGATATTTTCATGATAAACCATAGACTGATCTCCTCAGGCAGTTTGTTCCAGACAGTGGGGGCCCTGACTGTAAAAGCCCAGTCCACTTTGGTCCTCAGCCTAGACTGTGGATAGTCAGCAGACCTTTGACTGCGGACTTGAGGGTTTGACTGGGCTTGTAAGGCATAATCACATCAGCAATGTTCTTTGGGCTTTTAAAATCAAGATAGCTGTAATAAATGTTGGCTTTGCAGTGACAGAGAAGAATACAGGGATTTATAGTAGTCCAGGTGCACAGAGAGGGCGGCATATATGACTGTTTCGAGGTGTTTTTTTGGAAACATGCAACTGATTTTGGAAAGTCTTCTAAGCTGATAAACCATGTCTGAACTACTGAAATGATGTGATACTCCAGATTGAGGTTGTTATTTAAAATGAATCCAACTGGACCGTGTAATATACGATAATCTGCCTCCACACTCCATACCTCTTGTCCAATCGAATTGTTTGCAAGGAAACAACCATTGTTGGCTTGTTATGTCATTTTTGTCCTTCTGGGCTCCCACACAACTGATGTACAGTATGTAGCAAGCACGCGCTCATACACTCTGTCTGTCATACCCACACACTGTAAGAACATTAGTCTGGGGCTCATGAGAAGTAGTTCAAGGCAAAACCTGGACAGTCTTTGCTAAAAGGTAAGACAATTATGGCAGAGAGAGCTCCTGATTGGCTGTCGATATTGTAATTTAATGTTATGGCTTGGCTCGGTCTTTGAACTAACTATAACTGCTGCATGTGTCTGTGTTTGTGTGAGGTGATTCCTGTAATAGTGCTACTGTATTAATAATTAAGGTGGTGATTTTACTGTGAAGCTGTGTTTCAGCATATATGAGTGCAGATTTCTGTGTGTGTTGGTGTGTTTGTATGTGCTACGAGTGTTAATGATGACAGAAAAGGGAGCCTGAGAGGCCACACAGTTAAATTATGCATGTAGTGTAATTAGCCAATCAAGTGTTTAAATTAGATGTTGATGACTCTTTGCCACAAATGAGAAGATGACACTCCCTCAGGTCAAGGAGGGCTTCCCCCAACGACAAGAGCAATGCCAAAGACAAGGAGCACAATTATCCCAGCGTTGTGCCCAAACATGTTAAATGTAGCTCGCTCTTTATTGGGGTTATGAATTACATGTTTTTGTCATTGTGGTTTATTTCATTTAACCATTTAATTCATTCTTTTACTAACGAAGCGAAAAGTGGCTAATTAGCTTATCTGATAAACAGCTTTAATTATATTCTCATTACATCTCTTAAAGCTCTTTTTTTTTTAGCAGTCATTGACAGAAACCATAGTACCATAGATTTGGCATCCTAACTAGCCAGTGGTTTAAAGGTGCATTTCAAAAAAATAAGTCAATTTTGGATAAGTTCATTGAAAGAGATACTTACTCTTACTTGAAAACCAGAAATCCAGTATCTCAATTTATTAGAATATGTTTTAAGATGGATTAAATATAGGATTACGGCACAGAAATGTCACACTCCTGTTTGTTTATACACTTAATACTGTGTTGGGGCTCCTTTACTTTAAATAATCACAGCAGTGCAGTGTGACTTGGAGGTGATCAGCCTGTGGCGAAATTGGACGTGACATTGAAGCCCAGGTTTCTTTCATATCTCATCTGTCTCTTGATAAATCATAGGTTCTTTGATTTGGTAGTATTATTTGGTTGGTGTGAAATGCTGCTGGAAATTGGCCTCAGCGTGGAGCTTGTCTGCAGATGTGTGAAGAGCTCTTAAATCCCCGTAGACATGGGTGTGTTAACTTCAGACTTGATAAATGCAGTGCACCAAAACAAGATGATATAGCACCTCAAATTTTCATAGACTGTAGAAACTTCAAATTGGACTTCTGTGCTTCTCTAGTCTTAATTTCCAAATGACATACAAAATTTACCTTAATCTGAAGAAGGACACGTTTTCTTAGCTAAGGCAAGGCACTTCTGACATCCTCTCTGGTTTAGGACCGCCCTCGTATTAGAAATATGATAGTTTTATTCCCTTTCCTTTAGTGGCTCTTGCTGCATTGACACCAGCCCAATCTACTCCTTGTGAAGCTCCTCCTGAGTTCCTCATTAAACGTTTCCTGACAGTCCTTTCAGGGTTGCCGTCACCCCTTTGCATGTGCACCTCTTCCTTCCACACCTCTCCCTTTTGTTCAACTTGTCATTAATGGGCTTCAATGCAGCACTCTGCAAACAGCTAGTTATTTCAGCAATGACCCTTTGTGGCTTTCCCAGCCATGTGGAAGGTGTCAATGACCATCTTCAAGACGACTGTCAACTCTGCACACCACAGTCCTCCCCATGATTGCACATCTGTAAATGATAGACAGTTCTTCTTACACTGTTTTTGCAGTAATTTCGTCAAGATATATTTTTCCTTTTTTTCCAGCTATAGGCCATGATTATCAAAATTAAAATAGAAAAACTGAGAAAAAAAAGGAAAAATTCATCGAAAATATCCTAAATTTTAAATTTCTTAAATAACAGATAATTGATGTTAAGCTTTTTCATGATTTTTAATTGTAAGAGCTGTAATTATCTACCAGCACAGAGCAATGCTTTTTTGAAAATTCATACCGTTTGGCACAATCATAACTCACGGGAATATTTGTGCAGTAAAGCCAATCATTACAGCCCCATTGTTCTCACAATGCATAATTAGATCATTATACTGTATTTTATCTCCTTATTCATTGTTATACTGCATTTTTAGCACCATTTACATGGTTTGAAAATTCTAAATAAAGGTGCAGACTTACAGACCGGCCTCACAGTAATTCACCTTGTTCTGACATCAATCCTCCTTGTTTTGTAATAGGATTACAACCTTGTTAGTCAGGGTACACAAACGTCTTCTAACATAAATAATTAGTTGATCGCCTCTTACATATGCACGCAAACACAAACTGCTCCATAATCGCATTTATTTTGAAGTACAACATGCCATGAGTTGAGACATGATGTCTAATAAATTGGACGCTGATAGGGGTTGTAATTTAAATCTATATGGAGACGGAGGGGCACACATGAATGTGCACACAGGCTCAGCTAATGAAAGAATCACTCATGATATCAGACACATCTGCACACATAAATAAATAAATTCATCCTGCAGTGGAAAAAAAGCGATCAAGCAAATGATATGAAAAACGAGCGTGTTAGCTTCTATGCATTTTAAAGGTTATAGATATGAGCCCACCCTCCTCTTCGATGTGTGCAATTAAAGTGATAGTGATAGGTTATGTGGATGATTACTGGCTGCATACAAACAGCAGTTGCACTGTCACATGAATATGTAATAAAGTCTGCTCTTGAATTAGAAAGATGGAGTTTGGTATCATCCCAGCCTCTCCTTCTTCATTTTTCTCTCTTCCAGTCCTCCTCCCCCATCATCGCTTCCCCTTCCTCCTCCCTTCTATCGGTCACAAGCCTGCAGCTCTGAAATATTTAACATTTCAGAATCATCTCCGTCCATTTAACAATGAATCAGACAGCTTTACTCCAACCCAGACTCTCTGTATTCAGGAAAAAAAGCTGCTCTGGCAAGTTGTCTTTATATAGACGGTACAAGTCAGAGGCATGTTGGAGGTGGTAGTGGGTGGAGATCACAGAGGATCACATGTGTGTTATGTAGTAGGATGAACTACTCTGTCTGCGAGCAAACTCATCAGTCAGAGGCTGGCTGTGTGGGTAGTGGCTAGAGGAGTAGTGGAGTGGTTTTGGCAACCATGGGGGCCATGAGGATGTGAGGAGGTGGACTGATTGCCAGAGAACACAGGAAACGTCTTCCTCGGGCATTGGACACCCCCCGAGGGACTGACAGCAACAATCGTCTGCAGCTTGAATCGACAATATCTGTGCAGAACATTTTCACACTGAGCCATCACCAGTTGGAGCGAAATTTTCATTAAAATTTTCTGGAAGAGCTGTTAGTGATTTTCATTCTTAAAATATGAACAAGGCCTACTTACAGAATCACAGAAAAGCTTTTATCTGCAGGGTATAAAAAGTATGTTTCTTTACACTTGCATGAATCCCATGAATATAATCTACGTCTTAATGTCCATATCATATCATACACATCAGTGCAAAACATAATATATGAATGAGCTACAACACTGAACTGGATTTTCATAGTTCCCTTTTTTATAACTCTGTGGTTTATGTGTGAACAGCTGGCAGTATATCTAAAAGTGCAAGAAAGCAAGAGAAATTGGTATTCATCCACTACTGAAAATAGTCCCCTCTCTTTACTGTTACAATCCTTTTCTTTACATGATAACTCCAAACCCAAGATGTGTTTTCATGCTTTTTTTCTCAACAAAATCAAACCTTATGACATTTTTTGGTTGGTTTAAAAGACTCTGGAGCTTCAGGCTTTTTAATTGGCAATAAGAGCCACAAACAGGATATGGTCTTTTCATTGAATTGTCTAGCTTTTTCCTCACTCTGTCTGGTCAAAGTCTAAATAAAACATGAATTGTAAGAGTAGCCCACTGGTGATTTCCTTTTATTTCTTCAGTACTTAAAACACAATACTGTACTTCCAGCTGTGAGGCAAATGGGTGCAGGGTATAGAGGAGCATTAAGATCTTGATCATTAACTCAATAATGAATCCGTGGTTTAATTTAGATGACCATAATTGATCGAGATGGGGCCTAATTGTGCATTCATTAAGCACAATTCTGATTTTCAGATCTAATGATTTTGTTACAGAATTAAGTGCGATGAAGAATGAAATCCTCGACTGAAGGTTTGACTCGAGGGGGCAGGGAGTCAGAGAACCGCAGCGGGGACTCTTTTCTTCTTATAGCTGATGCTGAAAATGTCTGTCGCCTCTCAGTGTGACTGCGCAGCTCTTCATTTACATACATTTACATTCCTACATTTCACTCGTCCTATTCTCTGTTTAATGGGGTTTCAACAAGATGGAAAAAGTGAGGACTGGTCAATGAATACCTTATAGCTACAAACATGGGGATACTATGCATAAATGTATGGCTGTACTGTTTGTGTATGTTCCTGTGTTTGTGGGCGTTGAAATTTGTATTTGCATATAGTATAAAAAGTGCATGCATTTCATTAGAAGACGGAGAATGTGGTCAATGCATGGCTGCCCTTGTGTTGAGAATACATTATATAGTGAAAAGATAAATAGGAGAGACTCATTAGATATAAATTTGCATTTTGAGGCCTTTGGGATCCGAAAATAGTGGTCTGGCTGGGTGCAGGTTCAAAAGGCAAGCCTTGACAGTCGTAATGTGTGTGGGGGGGCTTTGATATGGAAGAAATAGGGTGGCTGATGATCTGAGCTTTCATGTGTGACGTTACTGAAATAGGAGGATTTACTTCCACCTATCCATGGGCACACTTGTCTTCATCAGCAGCAGTGCTATTCCCCCAGTTACACGCTGTCACCCTTTAATAAATACAGACCAGACACAGCACGAGTCTGTCAGCATCACTTCACTTCATTTGGTGGCTTTAAGTGAGAAACGGTTCAAAGCTAATCCTCAGGACTGACGTGGAAGCAACAACGCTAAGTCTCATAAAACAGTAAGATCATCTCGTAAATATTTATTTATGACTGAGAAAATTTAAGGCGTGTTTATGATGGGAACCCTGACCCGTTTGTCCACAACGAGTGTTGTAGAGCACATGGACCTCAGACCTCAGGCACAGTGGAAAGGGACAGAATTAGAAATGCAAGTAGACAAACAGACAGATGGACATCTGTCAAAAATTGAAGAAAACCAAAAGAGTGAAAAAAAAAATAAAACAGGTTATTGAATAACACTGTGTCCAGGCTCCATCAGTGGATTATTTTACGTGCTATTAGAGTACAATTGTTGCCCCCCCGAGACTATTAAATGGGCATTCATTCAGGTTTACTCACATCATATTGGTCTACAAACTGTGATATTAGCTTTGGGGTGTCAGTAAAAGTACAAAGAATTACAACCAGTGAGGTTTACAGAGAGATGCAGAGCCATCTGATTGGTCCCCCAAGTGGCTCCTCTGAAATCCAAAACCATGATTGGCTATTTACCTTGTTAGAGGCAGCAATTCAATTGGAATCAACTGTTATAGTTTGTGTTTAAGGCTGCTTGAAACTAATCTACATTTCAGTAATGAATATTTACTTTTATTGGTGTAAATATTCAATATTACAAAAATATTTCATTGGTGGGGGCTTTGGACAAACACCTTTTTTAAAAGTCCTTGGAGAATAAAAT